CACAGGCGCCTGCCACAACGCCCGGCTATTTTTTGGTTGCAGCTGTCATTGTTGTTTGGGCGGGTCCGGGCTGGGGATTCGAACCCGCCACCTTAGGTGTACATGGCTGGCGCCTTAGCCGGTTGAGCTATAGGCGCTGAGCCGCTTCCATTTCCTAAATGCTTATGATATGCTAATAAGCACTACCCAGCTCAACAGTCCTGCTGTGAGGTAAGTACACTATTCTACGCTTTTATAGATGAGAAAACAGGTTCAAAGGTGGTGTGACTACTACAAGGGTGCAGAGATAGTCACTGGCAAGACCAGGGAGGGGTGTCTGAGTTTGGATCCCATGCCCCTAAACACTGCTTTGGGGTCAACTACATATAGATTTTATTAGGCAGAGGGGCTAGAGGGCTTTCCCTTGGCCATAGCCACTGGGGAAGAATTCAAAGCCTGAGTATCCCAGGACAGGTTCCACCACAACCCAGATGTGATACAGGGTCTCCACTGTGAAGTGAGGCTACCATCAGCCTCTATTCCATGGGATTGTTACGGGGACTGAATGATATCTTGTATGTAGACCGCTTGCATGGGTTTTGGCCTCCATTCCTTCAATAATGAAGCACCAAGCACTATTCACAGCAGTGAATGGAAAGAACAGGTCCCTGCCTTTCTGGGGCAAACATGGAACTCATAAATAGCTAAACCAGTAAGATAGAGTGGTAAATGCTGTAAACCTCAGTAGCTGATGTGGAAATAGTCATGTTTGCAATCACGATCCTGGTGTAAATCAGGTCAGATCCCCAATTCACTTCCCCTTTCATTTGTTCAACAACATTTATTGAGCTTTCATCATTTGCTGAACTCTGTAGATAGAATCAGAGGTGGTCTTCATGTCTAGATTCTGATTTTGTATGTTACTTGTGTTCACTGAGACTGTAAACCAGAATAAATATGGCATGGGAGTGAGGCAAAGGGGACCGACTGCTTCAGGTGGCAGAGTCAGGGAAGGCTTTCATTGTGCTTCCCGAGCACACAGCATGCTGTTCCCAAAGATGGGAAGATGGCTGTGTGCTCAGGAAGCACAATGAAAAACACATGGTTTATTGAGGTGGGAGAATGGATTTTTCTTTTTCTTTTTT